CACTGCTTAGCTACAGCCTTGGCTAAATCTTTTGTCGTTTCTGTTTTTCCAGTTCCTGCAGGACCTTCAGGAGCACCTCCAAGATGTAGATGTAGCGCACCAAATAGGGTTCTGAAAACAAAATAGAAGGAAAAAAAAAAGTTGTAACAATTTTATGCTATTTTTCTAGCTGCTCCAACTTCTCCCAGAAACTCTCAAAACTTGTTTAATGTCTAAATTTCCCTCAGGTTGTACAGTTTGCGTGCTCCTGGTAACTGTAGTCCACAAATACATAGAGATGCTTTAAGTTCGCTAAAAGTTAAAAACAAACAAACAAACAAAAAAAAAACCATAGCTTACTATCCATTTATCACTAACCACAGTGTTACAAAAGATTAAATTTATTAGAAATTTAAATCAAAATATTCATACAGGATGAATTCTAATCAATTACAACACTTCTAATTATGCGTATTAGAACATCAAAGATAAAATCCTGGAGTCACCTAATTTAGGACTAAAATATCTCAACTAAGTAGATTCTTGCAAGCACAGAACATTTAGTAACAAGTGCTTTTACCTGTAGCACCTGTCTGTAAGTGGAGTAATAACCAGCCTAGGTATATCGCCAAGATATTCATATCCATATCTCAGTCCAGCATTGATCATTCTTGTTTGAAGATGTCCTTCCTAAGAAAATAAGGCACTGACTTCATAGGTGAAATGATTACACAAAGAGAAAAGACAGCACAGTATTCCTCAACTTTGTAGATGAGCACAACCCTTTTAAAACAATTGGTTCATTGCTCTGAGACAGCTTGTGGTTCAATTAAATAAAAATATCACCATTTAAGAGACAGTAAAGTATGAACACAAAACCATTTTTCCATTAACTTCTATCGAGAAAAAAGCCCTACCAACCATATTGCTGAGTTAAAATGGCATTGTTCGGCTACTTAGAAAGATGAAGGCCTTTCTCAAACAGAAGTAATTGTATCTCAGGATTGCAGGAAGGTTGAGGCAGGAGGGACTTCAGCCTATCATTCTAAGCCAACCTCTCTTCTCCGTCCCCTACAGCATACTAAGCAGGCTTGTATCCAGACAGCTTTTAAATATCTCCAGAGTAGGAGACTCAACAGTCTCTCTGGGCAACCTGTTCTAGAGCTCAGTCAGCCTCACAACAAAGCATTTTCCCCGTGTTCAGTCAGAACTTCCTGCGTTTCAGTTTCTGCCCATTTCCTCTCATCCTGTTACTGAGCACACCATTGAGGACAGTCTGGCCCCATCCTCTTGTCATCCTCCTTTCAGATACTTATGTATACGGATCAGATCTCTCCGAGCTTTCTACAAGCTGAACAGGCCTAATTCTTTCAGCCATTCCTCTTATCAGAGATGCTCCAGTCCCATAAATATTTTAGCAGCCCTATACTAGACTTGCTTCAGGAGCTCCAATGACCAACAGCTGAATTTGCAGTCAACTTGATGACTCTAATACGGCAACAAAACACATTTTAATTTTAGGTGCGATGTCTTCCGTAAATTGGGAAATGCTGTCTTGACAAATGCAAATATACTGTATGCTACCACCACACAGTATAAACGTTGCTATTTTTCCAAGTAACACATAAAATAATATTGACATCAGATTAAAATCTTTAGTTGTCATCCCTAAACCACTTTTTACTCTTCAGAAACAATAATAAATAGTGTTAATAATAAAAATCAGTGTTTGAACAACAGCAATCTCTGCTGCCGATTCAGACAACATTCTGAGATTCAGCAGTGATGAGATTTTAATTAGAAACGGATTGTATTTGGCTACTGGACACTTTAGTTAGCAATCCACAGAATTATCAGTTAAAGGTATATTCTTATCAGCAGAAATTATCACATCAGAGTAACTATTCTCTGTATCAGCAAGCAAGCAGAAATCGAAAAGCTATGAATGGAAATTACCTTCTAATAAGATTGAGAGGTTTCACTTACCTCCCAGTAGTATCTAAGCTGACTTAGCCATTCAAAGTCATTCTCATCTTTGATTTTCTTGCTTACTAGAGATGCAAGGACATCCCTAGCATGAACATCAAGCACAACAAGTGCTCCAAGCGTCACACGATTCTGCTTAGACAGCTTTCCTCGCACCAAGGTGACAATGTCCTCTATCTGTCTGTTATTCTGTTCCAGAAAATCCTCTAGTGCCTGGGAAAATTTTTACAAGTTAGGTAACTGCAGGGTTAATCTAAGGCATGAGGATTTTTTTCCTTATATTACTCTTCTTTTTCTGTATCAAAATATTCCTTCTCACTATTACAACAATAAACTATCATTCACAGACATAGTTCAATAGGGCTTTTATCTATTTGATAAAAGATTTTTAATGTTACAGAACAATACATGGAAACATCAATGACACATCTCAGGAGACAAAACAGCATAACTTATTTCTTCCTGAAATACATGAATTACTCCTTAGCTTTTGGTAAATTTCACATTAAGAAAATAACACATATTTTAACGACTGGCCTATATGTGACACATATTTTAAGGACTAGCTTGTATGTATACAATACATTTTCTATGCTTAAGGAACATCACAGTACTAGAAAAAAACCTTTAAGCTCTACAGTAGTTAGGAACAATCCAGTTATAATCCTTTTCATTCTCATAGGTTGCAGTAAATAGGAAAGGTCCAATTTGAGGAAAGCACTTACATCAATACTGAGAAGTGATAAGTGCCTCACTAAGCTGAAATTAAAAAGAAAGACATCGGAACCTGCAAACAGAGTTTGCCACTTAGACATCCGTATCTTTTGCACTCAAATGCATGCTCTTTCAGGAAGCTGCATTCACTGAAAGTCCACAGTAAGCTTGATTGCTCTGAATCCTTACAGAAAAGTTAGAAATTTCTGCTATTTGTCTGGAGAAAAACTTACCTACATCTGGTTTAGATTTTTCTCCACACTAGAACGTTGTTCATCTTTGCATACTCTGGCAGCAGTAACCACCAATGAATTTTTCTTATTTTCAGGTCTCTCACCCCAGCTAACTATTTCCTAAACACTAAGCTTGATTAAATCATCCACTTAAAATTACTTATTTTTAATTTACGAATATAAAGAAGCAAAAAAAGTTCAAAATCACTTCAATATTATGAGTTGCTTCAGAAGTTCCAATCAGGCAGCATCCAAAACACACCACTCAAGTCCGGGATAAAAATCCATCTGCTTACCACCAAGCTTTCACCAAGCAAACTTGTAAAAACCTAGATACTAGTATGTTCTCATCTCCCATTTCAGTACCACTCTTTACTACTGCACTTCTGACTATATGCTCCACTGAAAATGAAAGCATTCCACCAAATACTACTCTGTAAATTTATGAAACAGTTTTGTTTCTACACATCTTACCTCACTATTTGTTTTAATAAAAAACTCGTACCTTTATACAGTTATCTGTTGGAAACAACTAAAAAAAGCTGAAAAGAATCCTGTGTATATGCCTGTGTATGTATGCATGTGTATATGAGTAAATTTTTAATCATAAGAAATGATTTAAATGAGACTGGTGTCATGTCCCAGAAAACACTGAAGAGCTTCTGTTAAAAAAAGAAATGTTTTGTCACCGTATGCACAGAGTGCCTTTGATGTCAGCAAAACATGATGCTGTAGGTAGGATACCGTTAATTTGGCCAGGATCAGCATCACACAGAATGCCTCTCATATGGTCAGGGACTGTTACGTTTCATATTCTTTAATACAAAATAGAAATAGTACAGATAAAGAATGTTGAATGTTCTGAGACTGAGAGTTCTCCTTGTCCAAGATTTGTGGCAGACTGTCAGGAGGTGCAAACCCCCTCCCAGTCTTGCACTACATACAAGTCTCTTTCTGCATCAAAATGAAGATTCTTGGGCTGGGGCCAGATGGGCAGAACTATCAGCACAAAAGAATTTGAGTAAAGCCTACAGAAGTGACAGGTTTCCCTGAATATCCTGGTATAGAAAAGACTTAACACAGCCTAGACAAGAGCCCTGTCTAGGCTCAGAATTCCGTAACAAACATTCCCAAAACCAAATGAATTTAATCATTCCTTAACTTCTTACCTTTATTCACTAACAACCTCTTAAGATTATGCTGGCTTTAAAGTCTCTGGATTTTATGCTGGATTTAAAATCTCTAAGGTTAGAATTTTTGTTTCTCCTTCCTGAAAGACTTTCACCAAGAGAAGATAAATGGTGCAGTATGTAGAAGCTTTCCTTCTTTCCCAAGAGAACTGAGGATCTCCTTTACTACTAGAAAAACAAATTCTTTTCAAATATTTTTCAAATCTTCCAGTCTATGGCAAGACTTATTCCTTGTATTAGAAATACTGTTCTCTTCTTCCTTCAGTTCTGTCCACTCAGAAGCTTTTTTTTTCTCCTGTATATCTGAGAAATAAAGCTTCTTGAAATGCCCACTATCATCAGAAGCCATTGATTCCACTTGTGAATAAGTGGCATTATATGGCCTTGAAGTACTCCTCCATATATAGACTAAAGAGTAGGTTTAAGTTTGTGTTTGTGTTATAACAGCAAGTTTGTGTTATGAACAGCAAGAACACCAAAACGCAAATACTGCAGATGTTTCTCCAGTTCATAGCATCACATCGCAAAAGTTGGTAAGAGAAAGTATTATGAAGTGCCAAAGATACTGTTTTATGTAAATCCTGATGCTCCTTTCTCTCCTAACATCAGAGAATGAAAATCTAGTTGCCTCAGATGATAACACATATCTAGTAACAAGTCTGGAACATTTCCAAATACAGCAGGTAATAGCAATCCTTACTGATGAAACAGAGGAAAGATTTTGCAAAACACAAATCCTGAATCTTAATTCAATGCCTTCGGTACCTTTCTTCTCACCACCTAACAAACAGATAACATGTTCTGTATCAACCATGCACTCATTGTTTCACAAGAGTGAAGACGGTACTTATCCTCTGCTAGTGCTAGCCCATATTTATAACAAGTACTGAACGTGTAGGAAGCTGAGCTAAGTTACAGACAGAGACTATCCATGCTAGTTAATAGTATCTGAATACACCAATGACCTGTTTTCACAGAAACATATAATATACATGTTAAGCTATACAGAATGTATTCTGATAGTGTGCTGAAGCATGCCTACATTCAAAAGAAAATATTAACTTCAAAGTCTTCAAGAATCACAGCTCAAGTGTACCTTCAAAGTAGGTATTAAAAGGATTAATTATTACACTGAGCAGCTACTCATTCAAAAAGATAACTAAAGGTTGGATTCATCACTGCGTTACACCAATTGCACAAAATTTAAATATACAGTGAATAGTCTTACCTTCTGGCCATTTCTAATAGACATCTCTACCTGCATCGTCCAGAAAGTTTGGGATACACAAAGAACAGTTTGTCCAGGCCACTCTTGTACCCAGTCAACACGTGCAGTTTTGGGATAAGCTTCAATTGCATCCTGAATGACCTACATAGGATAGAAGCACGTGGTAGCCACATATGAAAATAAGTAATGTTTAGCTTTAGAATTTAGGTTAGGTTGCAGTACTAAGAATCAAAAATAAACCAGCCTCAACTCTAACTCTATGACATTGACATCCTGCAAGAAAATCCTTCCAAGATTAAAAAAATGAGAATGTGATAACATGAACCAAGTGATCACAAAAAATTTCTGAGGACTAATTTCACAACACATTCAGGGCACTGAAAACATAAAATTTTCTAACTCCATCTATAATGAAACTAGACAACAATTGTAAATACAGCTTAGTTAGAACGAACAACCCAAACTGAAAAGTCTTTTTAAAATACAGTTATTCTGCTATAAATACAGAGCTTTGGATTTTGCATTTCATATTATTTAAACTTATATCTAACTTCATGTATGTTTTCTAGTAACAGAATGATAAATCTGGTTATTACACCACTTAAGGATAATCCCAATGAAATCTAAACTTAGGAAAATCTTTCAGTCCCCAACATTTTGTATTTTTTTCTTCCATTAACAAAATTAAGTAAGAGTAAGGCAAAAGCTTAAGAAAATTTAGATGTCTCCTCAGAAAATCAGTGTAACACGAGTTGGATGAAAACCTGCTGTACATCCTGCACTTCCAAATCTCTTTACTTTCAACAATTTATACACAGAATAGCATGAATAAACCACTACGGAAAAAATGTATCTGCATTGACACCACAACTACACAAATATTACGTGTTTCAGATCATTACAAAAGTTTAAAAATCAAGAGTGAATGCAGACAAATGGTGCTTGGCCACTTCTTACTCACATGCACCAAGCAGGTAAATTTAGTCACTTCCATTTGCCGATACACCATTAGTATAATTAAACTGTAATACTGTACAACAGTATCAGAAGCATGTACATTTGATTACCTCACTTTACATTGAAGAGAAACAAAGAAAATGACAGATAGCTAAATTTATGACGTGATGATGTGATCTTGTGGATACTCCAACAATACAATCTGAAAAGGGTTCAGAATCTTGACTGAGGTAGTCAGAATTAAGAGGAATGTTAAAAGGAGTATTAAAAAATAAGGGCATACTTTCTCTTGAATCTTGTCCTTTCATACCACACCCCACGCATAGAACGATCTCTGACAAAAGAATCCTTTCGTCAAGTGTTTTTCATTTTTAAGAAATTTAGAGCATTATAAATCCAGAAAACTGATATCAGATTAGTTGTTGTTTTTGTTTTTTTAAAGGTATAATCTTAATAGACTGAATTCATGGTTTTAATGCTCATGCTGTGCAAAGAATAAAAAATGATTCCGGTATACGTGAATGTTAACAGAAGAAATCAAGGCTAAATGACAATAGCCTAAGGAATAACTAAATAACTTCATTTGGAAATGAGGTCCAGAAATATCGAAAACAAATACGCCTAAATACATCAATACTTGGTACTACTCATAATCACTGATAAAGGACAAGTCAAATTGCAGTTGAAGTGACATGTAATCAAGGTGGCTTTCTGCCTTCAGAAGATATTAGGCTTAAATGCCTTAATTCAACAGACTACTTGATATCTGCTTAACTTCAAGCATGAGTTTCCATGAACTTTACTGCTTATGCCTCCCAACACTCCAACACCAGGACAAAATACCACAGAACCATTTAAGTTGGAGAAGACCTTTAAGATCAAGTCCAGTCACCTACCTAACTACCAAGTCTATCGCCAAACCACATCCCACAGCACCACAGACACATTTGTTAAATGCTTCCAGGGATGCAGACTCCGTCACTGTCCTGGGTAGCCCATTCCAATGCATTGCCCCTTTTTCCATGAAGAAATTCTCCCTGATATGCAATCCAAACCTCCTCTGGCACAACTTGAGGCTGTTTCCTTGCATTCTATGAGTCATTTTCTCATGTCCTAAACGTAGCTGTTTTTGTGCTGGACACACAGCACAACTGCCACAACTAAGTACTTTCAAACTTTGAACAGCTACACATCAATCACCTTACTATTTTTTCATGCTTCAGAGAAAAATAAAAGCTTTATGATTTGTTACCTTGTGGACAGAATTCAGCATAGCTGCCTCCAGTTCAAGGAGCCATCTTTCAACTTGACCTCTAGCTTCAGAGGTTGAAATGGTCTGCGTGAGTTTCACAGTCTCTCCTTCACTACTTTTAATGTGTGTAATATCTAACACATCAGTAAACACCACTCTTGCAATTCCTTCAAAACACTTTTTCAGGTGAGGCTGTACTCTAGAAAACAAAACTAGTATTGAACAGCTTCTGCCATTGTTTCCTTTCCAACCTTAGAAAAGTAGATCTAACTTTTCACAAAAAATACTTCCGAAGAAATTAAAGGTCGTTTTAAGCTTATTAATAAAATTATTATCCTCAACAGTAGTTCTTTTGTATTACACCTACAAGATGCCCAGTGCATGACTTTGAGAGGACCAGTTAAAGATGTACAATATTCCTTACGTTTTCTGTAATATATAACCCAAAAAAGACAAATAGGAATCCTCTCTTTAACAGTTAATCCATCTAAAGTGCATAAAGTTTCATTATTTAAATCTTTCCACAGAACTATTGTAAATATTAATGAATTTAAGTAAAACAACCCTATTAATTGCACTGCATTAATATTTCTTAGTAATTAGAAGGTTGTTCATTATTTTAATTCTTATCCTTGCATGGCCTTGCACTGGACGCTATCAGATCTGAACAATGGGAATAAAACTGCAGTGTATGGATCCTACCTGATGTTCAATTTTCCACTGGGAATAAAACAACACAGTATGCTAATTTCACTATGAATTATTAATTGGACTCTTGAATTTTCTGAAAAACTGTGTACAGAAAGGTTACTAGTTTAGGAAACAAAGAAGAATTCAATTACTTGCATTAAAAATCACTCTGCATTTGCCTAATACAAAATCCCACCTAGTACATTCTTAACGCCATGGTTGGCAGGGGGAAAAAAAAACAACTTATAGAGAAACAGAGAAACAATATGGCAAGCCTGTCTGCATGCACAACGAGTCACAAATGCATCTACTAAATACTACGGTACCGGGTAGGATCTTTGGTCTCTGAAAGAATCTCAAGGAGTTCATCATTAGATAAAAAAAAGAATCTTGGGAAAAACAGGCGCTTCTTCTCTAGGTATTCATTAAGTCCCTTGAGAATTATCTCCAGAAATTCATTGCACTTCCTCAGTTTTTCCAACATCTTGTCTATTGTTACCACTGCCAGCACATGTTTGTCCTGAAAGAGAAATCAAACCCGATAAAAACATTCATGTCTACTCACACAGAAAGCAGTAAAGTCTTGAGCAAAATTAAACTTTATTTCATACTTTTCTTTACTCTGTAATTGCCAGAATTACAATTTATAATCTTCAGTTTCTGGTTTCACTGGAAAAACAGGCAGTTGGCATTAAACTACATTTGCTATTTCTGAAAATGATTTTCAAAACATAATCAATTCATCAGAGTGATTTCTGTCATTTTGTTGAACCAACAGCAATCCACCCCATAATCATACCCATATAATTAAGAAAAATGAACCAGCAAAAGATTGTGACAGATTTTTAAGTATACTTGTATGGCAACAATACTGACACACACTTCATCTGGTAATCTGTAAAATTCCAATGTAAAAAAAAAATCATCTCTTTTCTCATGTAAAATACTTCTATACATAAGATCCTGAGTTGAGATGGCAAAATTGCAAGTAGGCAGCACTGCTGCTGTCTATAGGACTTCAGTACTAACATTAACTAGTGATATGCTCTAAAAAAGGCATTCTCTTATCCTAATGATTACTAACTAAAGACATCTTTAAAGATTTTTGCTAATATAGAGTTACAGATTCTTTAGAAGAATCACAATTATTTTTTTTTTTACAATAGCATCTGAATAACACATACTAAGATACACTGCTTGATAAACAGTTCCTTACATTTTTACACTGAGTAGATAACAACATATATCCCTCAGCTACTGCCTTTCAAATTAACACCTTCAGTGAAAAGAACATATGTGCTTAAAGAAATATATATTGCATGAGTTGAAAGTTGCTTCAATTACTTAAAAAAATAATAATAAAGTTAAAAGGTTTTGCAAATGACCTGAAGATTATCAAGCTAAAACGCAAGTTTGAAAGAAATACAGTTGTCTGAACATCAAACCCTGGCATTTAATATATAGCTTGTGACCTATCAATTTCCAGCCTAATTTCCATTAACATTTTAAGCCACTCACCAAGTATGGAATTTTTGCAGCAAAATGAGAGAAGAGACATTTCCAGGTAGGAAATCCAGATGTGCAGATTTATGACAGTGGAAGTCAGACCAAACAAATGTTTCTACTTAGAACCTGTTGTGGGTTCACGTATGACTGAATTTATCCCAGCACTGCACTGTTCAGGCCCGTACTGGTTTATATTACCTGACTCGCTGACCATTCAACTGATTCAAGCTTACTCTTGTTGCAATGCATAAAGTTCTACAACATCACGGGAAGGGAAGGCGAAGTGATTAGTCTGGGAACACACTTCAATAGCTTTTCCTTTACCACCTGCATTTCCCTGGAATTTGATTGAGGCCACAGAAGAGAAGGAAACAGAGTAACTAGGAATCTTAGGCTCTGTCCAGTGAGTCTGTACCTGTAAGAGTACTATATACTACACATGACCGGGGTAAAGGGGAAAAAAATGTAAGTACACAATGAACTTAACAACGAGAAACACCAAAGAAATTAGTAGGGACTATTTCAGGCTAATCAATCTGTGAAGGACATGTAAGAACAACTGGCTGTAGAATAATGCAGCAGTAAGAGTAAAAATCAAAGATGCAGCCCAACTATTTCCAGTAGGAGCAGTTTTGTCACAAAACACAATGTCTCATTCAAAAAAAAGTTCCTGGTGGGGCTTGCAGAATTACACAGTATCACAGTGCAGAAGGGTTGGTCATGCTGCAGTGACAGATGAAGAGAGACAGGACAGACTGCTGTGCAAAGCCCAGAATGTTTCTATGAGAAATTAATTCCTCACAGAGCAACAACGCATCTCTGATCTACCGTCCTGACTGCTGTTCAGCCTCAGTTGGGAGCATTCAATAACAAATTCCAAACTCAGCTACAGTTCAAAAACTCGTAACGTTCTGAAATGATTTGCAGTTTGCATTTAGCTTTGGTTCAGTTCCCTGCTCATAATGCAAATATGCTTCTAATCTACCGAAAACAAATAAACAACAACAAAAAACACAACTGTATGCTTATCTAATTAATCCTCATAGGTTGTGGCCCTCTGACGTAAGAAGCAGTGTTCTCTTCAACATGAAATACATTTACCTTCTGTTACTTCCCTCTTGCATCATACCAAAACAGAACAAAGGAAATTGAGTGCTCATATTTCTCATCTATACATAGGTAATTAATCTGTCAGCACGCAAATGCAGTTAATCATCTGTTTTATAAAACACGTTGTAATGCATAACCAGTGAAACAGAAAAAGGAATTGCTTCCTTTCTTAGCATGTTTCTAAGCGCAGCTGGTGGAGAAAATCAAAGCCATGTTGCCAGCACCAAACATGGATTCTTTCTATTTGGTTATTCTTTCATATGGAAAAAAAAAGTTAAGTGAGGAAAAAAACCCAAACGTTTTGTTTCTCAACATGTAATTCCTATTTACAGCTCTGCTAAGGCATGAAGGAGAAAAAGGGAATGCCCCCATCCTGAGTCATTCAAAACTTCAGTTCTGTTTTTTATCGATTTGAGGGAAAAAAAAAACTGTGTCACAAAAACTATAAATGAAGTGTATGAAAACAGTTCTAATACCCATCTAAAAGGACATTACTAGCTTTAGTTTTCAAGTATCGTTTTTAACATATCACAGGTTGCAGCCTTGAATTTCTTTCTTTTCCTTCTTCCTCAAAAGAAACACAAACGCTTTTCTGTATTCTAGTTTTTGTGTGATCTTATTTACTTATTTACTTAAGACAAGTGGAAAATAAATCCTTTAATCCTCATTAACACTTTGCTTAAATTCAGTAGTTTTAATGAATTGCTAATAAATGATTATTCAAGTTGGTGAGGGATAGCTAAGGAAATAAAGGAAGCATTTTGATTCCTCTCACAATTTTAATACACAGCCACGTATAAATGCAAAAAAAAAGCAGACTCAAGTTTGCATTATTATTTAAGAAAGACCATTCCAATTGACTGAGGAACAATACCCAAGACATAAAATAGAAACAGAGTATTTGTGGAAATAGAGTGCCATCTACTGGAACATAAGGCACACTTGTTTAGAGAAAATAAGATTTGGTTCATTAAACTACTCTTTTGGCATTTATAAGCCCCTGCACAAACAAAAAAATATTGTTTTCTACCAGTGATAAGATATATCACATTCAAAAATAATTCACAATTGATTAGCACCAAATATTGTTTTTTAGCACCAAATAAATTAGAAGGTATTCTTTAAGAAGACAATTCAGCAGATAAAACATATACAAATTTATTGCACAACACATCTCTGAAATTCTTGCCTTTTTATTATTACTATTTTTACCTGATTCTTCCCTAGAGTGAGCACTGCTGATTTCACATTAGCTTGATAAGTTTCTGATTTTTCTTCTACATCATAAGATGGAAGAAAGAAAGAGCATGAGGGGCTGAGGGAGAAGAAAGCGTACATGCAGCAGGAAAGAAAGGATGAGAAGAAAACTAATGTAAAATTTAACTGGAGCCTGGAACTACTCGAAGTGCAATCGAAGAACAAATCAGAACAAAAATAAAACAGCAACCAACCAACGGAAAACGCCACAGACCCAAGCTCTTCTCCATAGTGACAAATGGACAACAAGGAGCAACAGGTACAGATATTTGCATGGGGCTCTCAGCTTAGACATTACAACGCACAGCATCAAAGTCTCTGGAAGTTATCTCCAAAGATTCCCTGTCCTTGGAAGTTTGTGGCTGGCTTGATCTAGTGCTGGCAAGTGTTCCACTTTGAACCCCAGTGATCCCTCCCAAGCAGTGCTTCTATGATTCAGTATGAAACAATTCTACAAAATCATTTTAAAAAGAATCTAAGAAATGGAGCTAAGAAACAGAAAACTGAGTACTGTGCTACAAGAAGCAATTTTCTTGTACGTCCTATAGATTCAACCCATATTGTTAAGACATGGACACTTACCTGAAAAACTGATCTCATCAAGTCTTTCCATGTTTTAAAAAAAGTATTGAATTGCCTGCTTTCCTCAGGCATCTGAGCCATGATGTCAGGAGAACTGAAAATTGGCTCCAAATAAAGCCACGTAGCCTGAACCTTCAGCCATTCATCCAGGATGTCCTGCAGTAACAACAGCTTTCCTTCCCATTCCCTGTGAAACAGTGTAAGTTCAAATGCATGGATTGATACTACCAGAACACTCCTCCCACACTGCTGAGACCTTTTTGGCAACTTGTATATTCAGCAGGCCTAAGTTTTATTACTGCAACGGAGTATCACACTCATCTCACCTGGTTTCCTGCATTAAAACATCCACACTTGTTTCTGCAACAGAATCATCTGTGTGTATTTAAACTACGTATTTTTGTAAGGTTGACTGTAGGATTTCATAGATGAAATTAATCCAGTAAGAAGACTAACAGTACCAGCAAATGAACAGAGCACGCACTTTAGCACGTAGTATGTATGGACAAGTTCAATTCAGTTCAGAGAAACTGAGTATTTAGTCAGGTTGTTGGCATACACAAAAGCCCAGATTGCTATGTCTAATTGTGTGCTAGGTGCAAAAGAAAGCCATGAAACTAACATAATCTTGAATATTAAGCCATAAACATGTAGATATTGTCCTAGGAAGCCATTTTGTCTTAATTAAAAGAAGTCAAGTAATAAATAGCCAATATAAGGCACTTAAAGCATCACTTATTTCTGAATTCAAATTACAAATGTGTGTCGAACATTTTTGGTGATATCAAAATTATCCATCAATATTATTGCACATCAATATATGTACACAATTCCATTATTCAGCAGTTATTCCGTCTTCACTCATTTACCAATTTTCTGAGTTTTCTTCTCAGTTTTTTCTTCTCAGTTTTTCTGCACTATTTACAATCATTGGTAGCATAATTTGATAATTTTCACTACCTCACCAGTATCACAGACATGGTATTATCAATTCTCTGATGTCATCAGTATTTCTAATTCACTGACACAGACAATTTGAAATAATTCTTTGTAAAAACAGCACATCATTTTGCAATTCTCATATCACTGGGCAGTGCAGATAGAAATATTTTAGAAGAGCATGCTGTTGAAATATGTACTGTACAAAACAATACACTAATTTTCTCAACAAGACCATCATACATGGTGGGCTGTAGAGAATACAGTAAAATGATACATGTGAAAATATACTTCCCAATTCATCCATTTACCTGCTAGAGATTCTAACCAACAGCTACTCTTCCATGTATCTTCTCCACATCCTAAGTCCCTCTTTCATCTTCTAGGCACTGTCATTTGTATATCTTGCATAGCGATCTTCCTTTTACCAAAGGCAGAGACAAATGCAGCTTTCCAAGAGGAAAGTTAACTTTGTTATACCAAAATTTTAACCAGGGAACTTGGAAAACTCTCAGGCAGGAATCCAGAATTCGACATGTTTGTTGGGCTATTGAGAAAGCAACTACTCTGTAATCACCTGGATCTCAAATACAGAAGTTATTCTTTGTACTAATACAAATCCCACCAATTAAAAAAAAAAAAAACCTTCAAAAAACTAAATATAAAAAAAGAACATTGAAACTTGGATGAAATTACCATAGTGTGTTTACTATTTTCCTAAACACATTTTAGAGTTAAATAGGTAAAGACAACCATTTTACATTAATAAGGAACTCTTCCCTAAATACTTTTACTACGGTGCAGTAGTAATAAGAAAATTAGTACTTATCGGAATGTATGTGTATATATGTATAAGTATGCATACATGTTTCTTATGTGCTGAAATTGCTTTTTTGGATGCTAATGGGAGTTTGGGAGTACTTACAGAGCTAGATAATTATGGGCAAACTTTAGATTCCAGATCTTATTCTTCCACAATATGGCTATGTTTGAGAAATTCATGAAGCAAGTAAAGGATTTATTGAAGACAAAAATCACATTAAAAATAGGGCACAGAGATAAAAGTACATGATTTTTTAACATGTTAAGCTAAGATCTGGACTTCAAGTTTCTGCATTATAATGAAGAATATCTTCCATTCCTTCCCTAGAATTCGTCTTGTTTTAATTTTTCTGTGTCTCCTTTAAAAAAGGCTAACATTTTTAATTAACATTTTAATGAACGGCTAAAAGATTCAGCAGCTTTAAAATTTATGTAGAAAGGTTAATCTAAATTTTCTTAGTTCAAAATCTTTCCTTCTTTAACTGAAATTTAAACTATTTGGTTAAACAAAAGCAATGTTAGAATATCTGCTGCCTTCAATACCAGAGCATGTCAAATCTGTATTGCAGCCTCTCCAATGCACTGGCACTTTTACTCAGAAGTAAAAAGCATGCTTAAAAGTAAATAATGCTTTCTTTGACACAGACAAAAGCCTTAGCTCTTTAAGATGAGATTAACTCACTGTTGAAGGAGGACAAAAACAAGTGAAGGCCCTATATTCTTTATTAACTATCTTTTAACTTTATTATCTATCACTTTTTCTAGGCAAGATCACTTAGTGACTTTCTATTGGAAAATAAAACAGAAAGCTTACCTTATCCTCTTCTCATAATGCTTAATGAATTGAGAGCCTCTCACAGTCTGAGTTTTAACAATGTGATCATCCAGTAACAGCTGAATATCGTCTACTGATTACAAAATATGGCTTCCTGTTTCTCTGCAGGCAAGAAAAGTGAACTCCATTTGATCCCATTCAGAAATCAAACCAGCAATTTTTGATATTTCTTCCCAGTGCCTTTCTTGCAAGCCAGGACTGCAAATCACCTGAATTAGGGGAATGTGGTGCTTGAATTCCTCCACTTTTGATTTAACCTGCCGTGTTAGTGCTAAAGTACTTGGAGAATTGTGGAAAGTTTTTTCTAGCTTGTACAATCCGTGCCAGTAGTTTCCTACATCTCCCTCTACTTTGTCTGGATCCACTTCCATAAATGACCCCTCTGTCCAGCTCTCGTGCTTTCTGTTGAATTCAACAGTCATTTCATAGAGACGTAGGTAAGGAGCAAGAACATTCCGGATTGTTCTGTGCTGAGGGTACTGAGATATTGGCCATCCAAATGACTCTTCTTCTGCATTAAATTGATCAATCTGTGCAGAGAGAACAGAAGTACGAAATACAAACCAAGCTCTACATGCTATCAAGTCCTTGTCATGGGTATTGCAGAGGTTGTCTAGTATCTTCACTGAGCTTTAAACTATGTTTTGAGTTACTAAGCTAGTCAATTATTCAACTGCTGCCACTGACTGCAGTTAAAGCGATCCTTCTGACAGCTCAACATTGTGCTTATCAATAGATGAGTACAGACAGAAGTTTAAAACAGTATCTGGACATTATTCTATAATTTGCATCAATACAGAGGTGATAACAGACAGGAGGGAACAAAAAGCATCAGAATTTATACTTTACAGAATATAGATCCATGTGAACCTACACAGACTTAATCCACTTTTCCTCTTTGCAAAGTACTATACCATTAAGATCATATAGTAACAATTAGTTACATACAGTAAACTTTGTTTAAATTGTAAATTGCATACAATGTTTCAGAGATGAATAAGGAATGATTTTGCTACGTATCAGTGACTGCGTACTAAGTAAACTCTTCGCTCTGGAAACACAAATATTAAACCTTACAATTCAAACTACCAGACTAGTTTAGACTACAACCTGTACCTTTTCAGCAGCAAGATCCAACTTTGTTTTCAGTGCTTGTGCCTTCTTCTGTTGACTTCCTGAACATCTCCAAATGTGCTAAGTTCTTCAATCTGCTTAAAACAGCTTTTCAGATCCTCCACAAATTGTTCACGCCGTACCTAATTGAAGCATGTGAAGAAAAAAAATAAAAAATCATAATGAAGTTAATCTTCTGTACAAAGGAGGAATAACGAATAATTCTGATTTTACTATATTAGGCTACTTCACACTTGCAGACATCCAGCATCCAGCATATGAAATCTTTAGTATCTGCTCCACTCACATTACAGAACTTGACCTGAATTTTACTATTAGCTGCGGTGACTTATTGGGCTAAATGACAGAAGTGACTTCGGTTTCCCCTCTGCTCTGCCATAGGATATAGGATATAGTCAGACACAGAAATTTCAGCTGTGGTGGACACAGCTGGCAGGCAAATAACAGAAAGCTAAACTGAAGAAACTGGTGTACCACAGATTGAAATGCAATAATAGGATTTGCTTAATCAAACGACAGATAAAGCTAAACATTTTCAGAAGACATAGGCGTATCTTGTCTTAAAGCCAGACAGTTCAAGGACAGATTTTTTCTTCATATATACCACTTGACCACAAACATGTCATAGCAGGTACCAGTAGTGGTCAGTGTCTGAAACCAAGCATCAGACCATGCAAAGCAATAACCAGTTCCAAGGTAACGCAGTGCATGCTGCACATTTATTTGTAATACAAAAAGAAACTTAGAAGCTCCTTCTTTGAACGTACCTCATGAACACAGAAACTCACTATCTCCAAATATTTACTGTCTAAGACAAAACTTCAATTAGAGTAGGGAGCAAAAGAAAGCCAAAGCATATGTTTATACAGGCAGTAACCCTGACACATCAGCAACCCAATAATTAGCAATCCTTGTGCACATAACCCAGTACTCGTGTAGTAAACTGTAACGTAAGAGTCTTGTAAATATAATGAAATAAAGAATGTAGCAGAGAAAAAAAAATGTTTAAAAAAAAAAAAAACAACAAAAATACATCTTAATTCAGGTTTGAAGACTTTTGCCATTACGCTAACAGCAAAATCACACATAAATTAATACTTTATTATTATTATTGTTTTCTTGTACCTATAACATAAATTTCATATACTGCAATTACAAGGATCTTCTCGAGACGTAAACATGTCTTTAAAGGAGCTATCTGAATTTTACTATTCCATATAGAGAGCCTTCATCAACATCAATGAAAATTCTATAACCAAAGAGCTTTCAGAAAGCAAAATATGATGCGTGGTTTGTATTTTAAAATTAACCATGTCTGAAATACTAATGAGTGGAAAACAGACAAAAATTAGTTAATACCAAGAATATTATGAAAAAAATATATTGAACACTTTTTTTAATATATGAGAAAATAAAAGAGGTTATTCCATCCAATATTATTTCATGTTCTAGATGTTATTTAAAATCAGTAACAGAAAGGTTTTTTTACATGTCTTTACAAACCTTAAGACCATCTTGAAACTGTTCTGTTTTCTCCTCAATTATCTTTCTGTGCTCTTCAAAGATATCTGGCATTCGTTCATAACCACTGAAAAACGTTCCTGTTCAGTCGAATGTCTGCTGGCGAAAAGCTGACACACTCTATCAGGAAATCAATACAATTTAAAGCATCCACCAACTTCTGCTCCAATTCAAGCATGTCCTGTGTTCCCACTTTCTGTATACAAGCCTGAGAACAGAAATTAAAAGGAAAGATTAACATATATAATTTAATGCCAGAACAGCCAATAGTTAATCTTTCAAAACTAACTTTTTACTAGGAAAAATTAATAAATTTAGAAATGCGCAATACAAAAACTTGTTCACCTGGAGCAGCATGGTACTGTCTATTTTTGCAGCACATAACATGTGAAGACAATTGCCTTACTAGATATTTTGTTGAACAAAACTCCAAGGAACGGTTGATACAGTGTGCACAAATCTTGGGACCAATGAAAACCAATCCCAACAGCCTACTGTAAGTGCTGCAAATCTGGGCAAAATGCAGGATGCTAGCAACTTAAAAATAGTGAAATAAATACAAAGAAATAAAGACACACTTCAGAAAGGAAAGCACTGGATGGCCCAGTTCAGATTAGGTCTTCCCTAGAATTAAGAACATAAAGAATATTGTCAGTTACTGCACTGCTCATTATGACTGAAATACAAATTACACTCTTCTTTCAAATCTCACGAACTGGCAGTGAACTGTGCTGACACATGTAAGCATTCCGTGCAGCACACTTAACAGAACTTTAACACGGCCCAGTTTAAATGAAAGTCTGTAACAATGCTTTCTGAAAGCCTCTAGAAGAGCTGCATTAGTAATAATCCGGCCAATTTGACAGATCAATAACACACCAGCACGTATGAAAACTGATATCACAATTGAAGATAAAGAAAATCTTAACGTGACATAATTTGAAATTACTGGAAACATTTTTAGGTAGGGATAAACTACCCATTGAATCTACACTTCTGCTCATTTTTAATAGCAGTCTTTGCGTATCAGAATGCATTTATTAGTACGGACCTAACAAACAACAATGTATTAAAAGAACCCAAAAGGAGACTGAGACAGCCCTCCAGCAATTATATGGAATAACTGTTAGAAATATACTTTGATGCTTGCTAAAATACTGCACATTACATATAGGTATGGTAATTTGCGACTTTATTCCTCCAGCAGACACACATAGTATCATACGTATTCTAAAGGCACCATATTCTCAGCACAGATTTAAACTTCTAATTGTTTTATTTTTTTACTCAGAAAAAGATACTGCTCTTATATTCTACGTTTGGCTTCACCGTAACAAAAGCTCAAACCACTCAGATTCACATTCAGCCAACCACGCAGGAATTATTTTAAGCACACATCTACATTCCACACATTTAATAACAAGCACGTACATCAAAACTTGACTGAATAGCAACAGAGTAAGACATGTTGTTTTAAATGCATATGCAAATACTTTTTTGAAGTCCAGCTGAACTGGAGCGTGAATACATCACAGCAACAGCAGAGTTTTGATTACAGAAGCGGTATTTTTAAATGAGAAGACGAGATTTTAGCTATCAAACTGTAAACCCTAATCTACTAAATTTTAAATGATAATTCAACACAGTATGTAAAAAGAAAATTACTTCATGCAACTTGCCAATGAGTGCTTCTTAAAGGTTTCTTGTTAAGAACTAAATACATATTTAAGCTCCTTACATCAGAGGTTTCAAGAGGTTTCTTTGATTAGTTTAGGATATTACAAACGGATTTTGAGTCTTCAACATCAAATTCAACTACTTGAATTTAAATCGGAGGAACCAAGAAACATTCACTGTTTGAATATACTATCTGTTGAGAAGCCTGTAGAACACAGGATCTAAATTTGTACTGGTACGTTGCAATGCAGAAATTGTTAGCTCCTTATACTAGCTAGAGGGAGATATAAATAAAACTTGCTCCAAGACAATATCTTTGAAATCTTTGCCTCACACAAATCTGTGACTAAACTTCTCAGTTACACCTACGTTATTAACTAAAACAGGACTGGCTCATGGGCTCAACCAGAGTTCAATCAGTTGGCTGCACTTAATAAATCTGGCACTTAGCCTTGTTACATGTTACGCGATTAGACTGGGCCCATCAATCTAGCCTACCCAGATCCCCTGCTAAGCCTTTGCTAATATCAAACATATCAACAGTGTCACCTAATTTGGTATCTCCTGTGAGATTACTGAGGATGCACTACAACTCCTCATCCAGACCAGTAACGAAAACATTAAAAAAAACTGGCCCAAAGACTGAGCTCTAAAAGATACCACCGATTAAAAGCCACCGACTGGATTGAACTCTACTCCCTAGGACTCTTTGAGTCCAGCCATCCAGCCACTTCTTCACCTGGAGAACAATATACTTGTCCAAGAAATGAGGTGCCAGTTTCTCTGGGAGAACACTGTGGGAGATGGTGTCAAATGCTTTACTAAAAAAAGGTAAACAATATCCATAGATTTTCTCTCACCCACTCAGCAGTTCATCTTGCCAAAAAAGGAGATCAAGTTAGTCAGATAGGGCCTAAGGTTCATAAATCCAAACTGGCTGCCTCAGATTGTTTGGTTGTTTCATATATGCCATATGATAGCAAGCAAATTATCTGCTCTGCAGTTTCCCCTGCAACATAGGTCAGACTGACAGATGTATAATTCCCTAGATCTTTCTTCCTGCCTTTCATGTAGACTGGAATCACATTTGCTAACCTCCAGTCAAAGATGGACCTCCCACATTAGCCAGGATTGCTGGTAGATTATTCAAAGTAGCTTGGTGAGGGCTTCATTAGTATGAATCTTGTCCAGTGCTAAAGACTCAAGAAATTTCAAAACATGAATGAGTGCACTTACAGTTTTCCATTGAATTATAAGGAATTCATCTCTCTCCATCACCGTTTTCCAAATCAAGGGGCTGAACACCCTAAGGACTATTAGCTTTACTAATGAAGACTGAGGTATATCAGGCATGAAGTACCTCAAAAAGACATTAAATACCCTACAGGATGCCTGTGATTGATGCAGTGAATGAATGTCACGAGTTTCTGTTCTTTTCTGAGCATCTTCTTTTTAATTCCAGTCAAGTCAGCAGCTTTTTTGCCAACTTCTTGTCAACTTTGATTAAGTCATCATTATTTTTATCTGATGACATGGCTGACAAAGAACTTGTACCAGAAGCGTCAACTCTGTCATTCTTGTTCATTCTATTCTTGTTCATTCCTTTTGCTCCCATGTTATTAGCATTATGCTCAAGAAGCAGTTTTTCTGTGGTAATCTTTTTAAGCCACTTGCCCATTTGGTGGGAGTTAGGTTAGTTAAAACTGAACAATACAATCTGTAAACCCACTCTTTTGCAGATTTGTGTGCCACTGTAAGCACACAAACTGCAATGCATTAATTACAATACGCTGAAAATGAATGAACGAGGGTGACCCTTCACATTGTGGAATATCCAGTCTTCCTCAGGACGCATACGTAGATGGTACAAGACCTTCTGACATGCGGACCAGGCAAAGGGGACCAGTGTCAATCTATATATTAGATATTGGTAAAGCTTAATTTCTTCCTCAATTGTTTAGATAAATAAATATGAAAGTTCTAATATGCACTACAATGGATCACAGGCAGCCTCTGACCTGCACACACCTCACTTTAGAGAGCACTGCCTTACAGAGTTTTGGTCCATGTCAACGCGCTCGCTTTCCAACAATATCACAGGCTGCAGAGACAAAAGACTGTTCTAGGTAGGCAGTTCAAGCATGATGATTCAGTGAGGAAGAGTTTAGATGTTTCTAAAAGAGCCAGGCTATGCCTTTTAGCCTCATGGCTAAAGATGACCTGTCCTTTTTAATTCTGTAACACAGATACAGTGCCAGTGACTTCAAGAGGGTCAGAATCACACCCATTAACTGTGTAACCTGCGTATGCTACTACTCCAGGACAGAATAATAGTATTCATAGCTGTTTTTGCTTGCTCTCATTAAAAAGAAGAGAGTACCTTAAGTTCCATTAGCTCCTGTGTACTAGATGGAGTACTAAGGGCTTTTTCTGATATTCTCTCAAATTCATCGCATAGCCTGAAAAACAAATAAACAGTTTGGCAAGTTTGTTTCATTTTAGTCATTCTTAGACAAATCACATACATTTGTAACAGCAAAAAATAAATTATCATATGCTTTAAGTTTTATGAAGTTCAGCAGTGGAAGCAAAACTAAACATTTCAGAAAACTTTTTCAGTTTGAGTTACCTCACACTTATATCTTGATGATCTTTGAGTATTTTGGCAATAATTTTTTCACTAATATTATCTGCTCGCTTTGCCAAAGCATTTGTTAATTCATCACAGTGCAGTTCAAACATTCCTAGACGGAGACACTGAAATACAAATTTAAGTTACCCAAACGTTGAACAACTTCTACGTACAATCATTCACTATCTTAAAAATAACATCAAGGCCCTCACCTAAGATTTCACTCAAGCCAAAAAAGGGTCCTAAAACTTTACAGTGAAGAAGAGAAAAAATACACACATAACTTTTCTTCTCTCTGTTCATGTCAAAATGTAACTAAACCTTACTTCTATCGCTTTTTATCTTGACAATCTACTGCCTCATGCAGGAAGGGCATCTATTCTCTGTAAGAAGGCAGCAGCAGATGTTGTCTGGTGACATTACAGAGTTTGAGGTACGTCTATAAAGCAGGGCATGTGGTACTGCTAAGGATTAAAACAAGGGGCCTCTGCCTCCCAGTGAGTCTCAGAATGCAGTGATTTCTTTAATTAGGGCAAGAGAGCTTGACTTTCAGACACAGGAGCCCTTATGACTAATAACTACTTGTTTCTCCAGACGTTTGCATTGAATTCAAGTAACAATTTACAGAAAATCACTTAGAACTTCGAGTTCTTTTTCACAATGTGAGAATAAAGAATTCTTACCACAGAACATCGTTATAAATACAAAAAGAAGAGGATCACATTATGGATCACCTCACTTAGACGCTTGGAAGGAATTTTGGTGTGACCAGATCCAAAGACCTTTTGTAATTTCAAATCTGGAAGGAGCATACTGTGAGAACTTTCACAAGTCTCCCAGTGAATACCTACTGGGGTGCTCCAAAAGTAATGCCTCCTGCCCTATTATATTGGCCCACAACATCAGAAGGAAATATTAATGGGAATGTTCAGTCTCTACTGTCATAGCACCAACGTCTCATTACATGTTGTCGCCAAGTAACAGATGGCAGCAGAGGGGAGTTTGTGACAAAATGGCATCTGAAGCAAAGATTTGAATTCCTCCATGTGGAAAAAAATGGCACCCGCTGACATTCATCAATGCTTATTGAACATTTATGGAGACCTAACAGTAAGGTGTTGGTGGTGCATTTCAGCAGTGGCAACAGCAACAATGGGTTGCTCAGTTTTTCCACAAGTACAGTAATCAGGCTCTTGTTCATCACTGGTTTAAAAGCATTGACAATGGTGTTAACTGTTGAAAAACAGTGCTTTGAATTCACTCTATTTGTATTTTGGAATTTTCTCTATCAGATAGCGTTACTGTGCTCTTTGTTATTTCCATGGAAATAAATAGGAGGCATTACTTTTGAAAGGACCTGTACAGTAAAAAGCACTACATTTTACCAAAACAAGGCAAACCCTACCCAGAAATACTAACTTTACAAAAAAATGCTTATTTTTCTGAAAAATTAATTTTACTTCACTTATCTCACAGTTAATTATCATCAATTTTGACTAACAGTGTTCTCAGAGAAAAAAAATCAACACTAAAATTAAGAATATTTTTATAATTTACCTTTCTAAAAGTATATTTTAATTCCTCACTGAGTTTCTTATACTTCATAATTTCTCCTTTCATTTCTTCAAAAGTATGTTGCTCAGTCAGGAACTGATCTGTATCTTGTTCAGCTTGTCTGTTTATCAGGAGGCTGTACTTATCATAAACCTTGACATGTTCCACAGGTGCAGCACTTTCTTTGATAATTTCTTCTCTGATCATTCTCTTATGTTCATCCAAGATCTCATCAAGGATTACAGGTTTCAGGACAGCTGATAGGGACTCGCTTTTTGGCTTTGGAAAAAAAAATACAGAAATAGGATAAATGAATAAATAAATAACAATCAGAAGGACACGACATTTTCAATTTACACTTATTTTTATAGATCAGCTATATTAAGGAAGATTAACAGGATAAAAAAAAAACAGTTAAATTCTACTTCAATTTTCTTCTAATTATTATTAGAAGAAGAAATTATTATTTATTCTAATAACATTTATTAGTATTATTAATACTTATTATTATTGTTATTTTTTAATACACAATTAATTACATACAACTACCAATTTTGTGAATCCTAAGTTATGGAAGTTTATCTCCAGCAGGAACTCAGAATTCTAAGTAAAAGTCCATTCCAAATAAAGTCATCAATAATTTCAGTCTACACTGTCTTTATTTTTCCTGAATGACCAGCAATTCAATTTTGCTATCCACCAATGACTTTGTAACATTAGAAACGTGGAAAGCACTTTCCTGCAACCCTGCAGATGCTATTAAACCTTGCTCTTACGCATTTAGACATGCTTCTTTTCATTTTTCTTTTTAAAGGTTTTTGATTACTGTTTTTATAAATAGTATTACAGCTATTCAAGTTTCTGGCAAAACAGAAACTGCTTTAAAATTACAGCTCAGATTTTGTAAAGGACAGTCTATTCATAAGGTTCTATGTTTAAACTGACAATATCATTTCCAGTGTCAAAATGAAGGCCTATTTTCAGAATTCTGGAGAAACATGCTTAAAATTTGAATGCATCAATTTTGTTTGCAGTATATAATACATTTGTAGTAGCTACTGTAGAAAATAGAAAAGAGAAAATAGCTGATGACTTTTTATTTGCTTAGAGAACAGTAACTGGGTCTTTTCATACAAAAAAGATTACTTCAGAAAGTTCAAAATATCACCAAAGCATATTAATGTGTTACTGCATGGTCTGACATTACGACTATTCATTAAAATACTCAGGAACTAAACATAGAAATAATGAGAAAACTAAAGCTGTGAGTACTGTATTTTCTTACCAACTTAGAAAATAATTTGGTCTCAATTCTTGGTATATCACTGACAGCATTAATCATCACAGCATAAACATTCAGTAATACATCCTCATAGTCATTAAAGTCAGGTTCAAATTTAATACAGTCATTCACAAGTGTTGCCCTCAGGATGAAACCAGGGTGTTCGTAAGCTCGAACTGACTTCTAAATTAAAAAAAAATAATAAAATAAATTAAAGTATTATTTAATCTAAATAACACAAAAAATGTCAAAGGACCATTAGGAATTACTCAGGATTTTAACTACAAATTACAATTACTAATTCTACTAAAAATACCAGTGCAAATATGAAGTATGTCTCTGATAATAAATAACAGTTTTACATGAATTTTAAGATGAATTACAGTATTGTTTCCAGTTGACATAAAAAGTATCTTCTATACACCAGCCAACAACTCATATAAAGTTGTTTGCACAAACTGATGCAGAGTAGCATTATAGCAGCAGCCCTCACAAGTATAGGAATATACAAATACAGGTACAGCAGCACACGCATCCGTCACCTACCCCAGTCACTGTGGAACTAATTTCCTTTAAAAAAAAAAAAAAGGTTATTTCTAATTTTATTTAGTAAACCATGAACCTGATTTGAGGAAAAAAAAAAACAAAAACAAAAAAAAAAAAAAAACAGAGAAAAAAAAAAAAGCCAAAACAAAAAAAACACCCTAGTCTGAGAAACACTGCGAGCTATATTTGCAGTAAATGGTTGAACTCTTTTGCAGTATAGATTCCTATGTACCCCAATACAAAAAGTTCTGTATGCTTTTGCCCCTGGTGGCACCATTTGATTTTATATGCTACCTTTAATCTAAATCAGGCATCTTTTAACTCTTCTGTATCTCTGATATCTTTTAACTATAATAAATTTTAATCAGGAGCCATAAGAAAGCATTTAATCACCATTGTGTAGCTTGAATAATGGATAATCACTCAGAAGCAGAGCATTAGAGATTATACACATATTTCTAACAACAACAGGAAACAGCACTGTGGACGTCAAATCTCACTTAATTCAGGAGTATACAAAGCAACTTGGGGAAGAAGTAGGAAAGAAAATCATACACTCTGCTTTCACAGTATAATTCCTTACCTAGATTCTCTGCATATTTTTTCATATTATTTCATCCCTTTATTGTTATTATTTCATTATTATTCAGTATCACCTGGAGCTAGAGATTCTTTAGATATTTAAGAGCAAGGATGTATTAATGGAAAGCTGAGCAAAGATTCAGCTGCACTACAAAACATAAAATTCAAGGAGAAATGTTTATCTCCACAATAGATACTGTCTAAGTCCAAAAGTGAAATTCTTCTTGCTTTTCCCCCCCCCCTCAAACCACAGACAGTAGAGAGAAGATAAGCCTTCAATACAGATGGAGATGATGGGGAGGTAGCACTAGAACACTGAGCAAGAACAGTTTCACTTTTGGACTTACATGATGTCTACAGTATTTATAGCACAGGATTTCTACTTTAAACCTAACTAACTGCAGCAGGTTCCTGTACATTATCAGATTTAAAATGTCAGTATTTCCCTCTGACATAAGTTGTTGTGGTTTTTTAACTCTGTTTAATAAACAGCTCATACATACAACACCACATCTTTTTTCCTCAAGTAACTGAGACCAGAGTTCATATTTTCTTTTCTTCCCTACGTAAAACCAACGGGAAACAAATAGTAGGTACAAGGATAAGCAGTGCTACTAGTAGAGGCATGAAAGAGTACTTACTGCTGGTTGAACAATTAAATCTGTAAAGTCCTGAATTGATTGTAAAAGTAATTGTTGCAGTTGACGAGTCATTAAAGTGGCAGCACATCTGAAGAAGGCTTCTAATTTAGCAGTGCTGGCATTGCTGGGTATTTGCTTTTTTTTATTACCTTGGTAAAAGATTTTCTGCACTTCTGGAAGCCACCTAAAGAGAATACAATATTTCTCTTAGTTCTTCAAGAGATATTAATAAACCTATAGTTGTTGAATGCTTGCAATACGTGCATGAACAAAGAATGCTGCAGTATACCTGGGGAACTGTAATGTAATTAGCTCATACAGCCGTACCTTTAAATTCAAAGGAATCATGTGTCTGAAAATGTTATCTACTACTATGAAACCATACTTAAAATAAAAATCCATGACAGATAAATCCACCTGCTTGCACTAGTCTCCTATTTCTCAAGTCAACAGAAAGACTTCATAGGCAACATACTTAAGTCCCAGAGACTACACACTTCCTTCTCCATCTTTGCAACCTTAGTAGATTTTAGACATCAAAGTTTCCCAGAGGGAATTCTGCCCTGCCATTCATAACCAAAATTGTGCCAACCTGGCTCTAGCACTGGAGGGAAATAGGAAAGATGAAAACACAAAAGTGTGCAGCCTTACAACTGTTTATGAGGTGCACAGTGATAGAACAAGGGGGAACAGCTTTAAACTAACACTGGGGAGGTTAAGGTTAGACATTAGGAGGCAGTTTTTCCACACAGAGGGTGGTGATGCACTGAAACAGGTTGCCCAAGGAGGTTGTGGATGCCCCATCCCTGGAGGCGTTCAAGGCCAGGCTGGACCAAACATATCTGATTGCGTATGTTTGGTGGCCCTGCTAGGCAGGGGGGTTGGAACTACATGATCCTTGAGGTCCCTTCCAACCCGGGTGATTCTGTGATTCTGTGGATGTGGCTCTGGGCAGCCTGGTCTCATGGCTGAAGACTCTGCACACAGCAGGGGGGGTCAAAACTAGATGATCATTGTGGTCCTTTTCAGCCCAGCCTATTGTTGTATGATTCTTCAGTTAAGAACACAAAGACATTTTCAGGGTCAGAAAGAAATAAAAATGAAAATAGTTGAGGCAGTTACTAACACAATTATGGGCCAACAGAAATAAAAACTCTCCACACCATGAAAAAGAAAACAACTGACAAACAAACAAGAAAAACTACAACCCTAATAATCAGGAATCTAGCAAATACAACAGCTGTTCTTAATTTAAATCCAAAATAGTAAAAAAAGCAGTAGTAAATAATTGCAGGAAGCAATCATTGGGGGTTGGTTGGATGATCTCAAGGTCCCAACCCCTGCATTAGTGTAGTTACTGAATAAAGATCAGATATATACAAACAGTACAACACAGCTACAAATATCTAAAAAAGACCTAGTAATTACTATGCTTCTACTTCAGCATATTAAGCACAATAACAAGAAAATCACCCTTCTTTCAGAAATACTGCTAGATGGATATACGAATATTACGCTGCTCAAACACTCTGTTTTTCAAAAACTCTTTTATACTCTAATGTCAATGGATGTCATTAATAAAACATTCTTTAGATGACATTGGTTTAAAAAAAAAGGTTAAAAAGCGAAAACATACAAACTGAAATACCACACTCATTAACAAAAGTTCTACACAGGTATCGTTATTAACCTAACATTAGGATAATCTCAATTACTCCTATCCCCAGGAGGCACTTTCTTTCTTTGAAGTAGGGATGGAGCAAGTCTTATTACACAAAAATTCCACCATAATTTACTTTTTTAAATGTCATAAATTATTGATAAGTAGAAACACTACTTTTTCAGTGTATCTCTTCAGAATTCTGTATTACAGCTGTTTTAAATGGCCTGAAAAACAAGGCAGAAAAAAAAAACCAGGGAAACTTTAAAAAGCAGACTAATCTGAAATAGCTCCAAGAATTCTTTGAAGAATAGCAATTAGATGACAAAGGAGTCCTCAAAATAAAAGCTTTTCTCAAAATAGACTGAAATACTGATCAGGTCCCACAGATTATCCAATTCTGAATGAATCTGTGCCCTATAGGAGATAAAAAGCAAAACACAACACACTGAAATTTGGAACAAGAAAACAACATAAATCACAGTAAGCTCAACAAAAATATTTTCATTCACTGGCCTCAAAGCATTTCCAAACACTCCAACTCTTTCTTTGATATGTATTATTAAAATTGGTCATTCTTTCTGTCTCTGAAAAGTCCAGAATTTCAAAAACACCCAAAGAAAAAGATCTCCATATAACTTAAAATACATGGATGCACTGGATCATACTTCCTAGATAGAACAGCTTTGGATTTTCCAATTTCCTGGATGACTTGAACCTGGAAAGATGCAAGTTCCTTGGCTTCCTGTTTCTTGTGAAATAGCTCTGTATCAAGAAGGCGTAAGTTTCTAAAACAGAATATAACATGAATATTTTAGATGTGTATTCACAGTACCTTATTATTTCCTTATTTCCATAAAACCTTATTTCATATTTCAAATGTTATTTATTTTAAACATTCATATTTTATTTTCAGGAACACCAAATGTATGTACTTCAGCACTTTCTGTATCTAAATTATCTAAATTTCTGTAATTATCTAAATGGAGATAATTACTGCATTTGAGTATATTAATTGGTATTTTCAGAGTTGGAGTCGACGCGTATATTTGACCCCATACTGCATATGGGATCAAACACTGACACTTCTAAATGTTTTAAAAAGCGACCTTCCCAAAGACTTGGTGGATTTTTACAGATATTATGAAACAACATAGAAATAATTATCTACACCAAGCTTGGAAATAATTTTCAGTATTCCTATTCCTTAAATAAATAATTTAATATCGTCTGTTCATTAGCAGATACAACAAAAACAAAAAAAAAAAAAAAACAACCCTGTAAAGTCATTACAGCACTTAACAGGTCAATTCATTGCCTTTTTCATCACCAGTCAAGAAATAAGCAAGCAGTTCCTGACTTTAAAAAAAAGAACAAAAAAACTCTCAAAATTAGAAAAAGCTAAAATGACTATTTCAAAAATGGAAGTCTTTTTCAGACTTGTCAGAAGCAGGAAAGTTGCCAATCTGTAAGACAACAAAGAGAAAAAAAGAGGGGAAAAAAGAAAAAACAAAAACAGGAAAAAAAAAAGAGAACATAAGATTTCTAGCAGCTCCATTCTGGATCCTCTCTGTACAATGGACATGATGGCATAAATTGTAGTTTCAGTGGAACAGTTATAGAAACAAAATGACAGACAATCACAAATTACCAGGTCCAGATGGTATTTCATCTAAATACAAAGCTAACAATCTAACTTCCATTTGCAGTTTCTTGCTTATTAATGCCTAGATACAAGGGGAAATAAGATGGCATAGGTAACTTTTTTTTTTTTCTTTCCCTGTGATCTCTGGGGAAGTACAGATAAGAAAGCTTGACCTGTACACATGAAAAGTTGGCAGAAACTCTTCAAAGCATGAAGTCAGAGAGCACACAAAAACAATGTATTTGGGAAAATGGTGTTTGAACAAAGCATGTTCACAATCTGTTTCTAGATGCAGATATTGTAGCTGTCCCAGATTCAGGAAGGCAACTTTGAAACCTTAAGATACCACCATCTACTATTTCCTCACTTAGATTCTGAAATCACTGAGCATCTGAAAAGCTAAGAGATATTGATAATACTTACTTAAACGAAGTTTCCCATAGCTTCAGAACAGCTAGCATTGAAGGATTTATTGCATGCAAGTTTTCTTTTATGCAACTGTACGCAGACATGAAAGACTTATTCCAAGGTTTTGGGACAACTTCCATTCTAAAAAGCAAAACGAAACACAAACACATAGAAAAAAACAAAAAACAAAACAAAAAAAACAAACCAAGAAACACAGTAGGATGGACACAGCTGTTCTAAAAACCAAAATATTTATATATCTGCATTAAAATAATTGTTTTCCATCCCAAAAAGCTCATATAAATAGCTTAAGTAGCTCAGGAGGTAAATCTGGTTTTCTACTCATTATTCAGGTATTAAAAATACTGTCTACAAATACTGGTCAATATACATTAAAAAGAGAGATAGAAAAAAAAGAAATATTGGTCTTAGGACATTTAAGAGATCTGTAGCCTATTTATAGGTCCCTTATATTAAGAATGTAATAAAATCATACATATATACGTAATCAACTAATGAATACATAATCTTCTGTAGTATATTTTTGTTTACACATAATATTCAATTGGTCATCATTCATGAGAATAGAGCCTTTTTATAAATCCACTTGGTCTGCTTTCAAATTTTTAAGAACACAAAGCTACTTCGGTGGGGTTTTTTAATATATCCATAGGGTGGGTTTTTTCTTTAAAAACTTAAACAGGGTCATTTTCCATTTTATGCAGACAACTAAATTCTATTATTAAAATACTGAGTATTGCAATTGAAGAAATAGGCATTGCAACCTTTACTATCTTTGCTTTAACTTATATTTAATTATACACTTGTAACTACAGTTTTTTACAGAATGAACTGCACAATCCCATTCAGGAATCAACCACAGAACTATTTAGTTTTGCGTAGATAAAAACATAGCTTATGTCCTCAATTCCTTGGAACTGTTTCATATCTCTCCGAATGTTCTTACAGTGATGTCACAAAATAGAGTATAAAACTTTCACCTGCTTCAGATCTAGTTTTCATCAAATCTCAGATTGATGAGGAGTTTCCAAGCAAAGGAAAAGGTTACGTAGATATGTGAGTACACAGACTCCACCTCAGAGAACTATGGATCTACATGAACAACTTTCATTTCCTCTTTAAGTGGTTTCTGCATATTCACATTAGGAAATAACCTTCTAAATGATAACGTCCTGAAAGGTTGGTAGCAATGAAGTCATAATTAGAATCTAAAATACTGCTTTGCCATACTGAACTTCAAGCTCGGACAACAAATCTCAGATCAGAAGTATATTCCTAAACCTGCATGTGAAACTAGGTAAATTGTGCAAACAAGGAACTGGTAATTCTGATATATACTTTTACCCATTTCTCAGTGAATCTGTATCCTATAGGAGATTTTAAAAAAATAATAATAATTTGGCTTTAGGAAGTTAAAAAACCTTGCTGAATTTCCACATCTATCTGACATATTTCTCTAGAAGAAAAATTCACATTTCAAGTACTGTTAATGAAATAAAATCATTTTGCCAATGACTGTTGTAGTAGGACAATGTTATACTTTGGGTTTAGTATGCAAGCATACGATATAAGCTTATATGAAAACTACTGCGATGTCCAACAAAATGACAGTTCCTAGTAGGCATGGAAGGTCTACAGTTAGAAACCGTAGGATGGCCTCTTATCGGGCGATAATATAACTCTCTCATTACACATTATTTCTCTTTCCAATATGAAAATTGTCTCAGTAACATCTGTCACAGCCACCCTCCTATATACTTCAATGCCTGCCATTTGGTATTTGAAAGCATATACCTCAGAAAATCTCAAGCATATACCTCAAAACACAAGAATTTGCCCTTCCGTATCTTATTTTCAAATGCTGTGAGATTAAATGTAGGAACTTCTTACCAGTTAAACACTGCAACACAAAACTAATTCCCAACAATTATTCAAGGTAGACACATTTTTTCCAAGGAAGTTGTATAAGCATTAACTGAGATAATAACTAAAATATGTTTACTTTTACTGTTTTGTGCAGTGCTCAAGCCAACACTGAGCAACACTACCTAAGATAATTCATTACACGTTACTGTACATCACTGCTCTATAGTCAGTCCATTTGAATAAATATATTTTCTTACTCTGCACGATGAGGTAAAAGACTATCTTTCTTCTTGTCTTCATCTTTTTCTCTGGTGTCTCTTAAGACAAAGTCAACTATGAAAGGTGTTCCAAAATAAAAGAAAAAAGTGAAAACAAAAATAAAAAAATAAGCTCACCAAAGAAATAAAGATAAACAAAATGTCCAAATGGACAACTCATTGACATAAATGGTTTTACGTGGAAATACATGAAAAGAAATTTAGTAGAAAGCTATACAATTAAATTGGGGTTTAGAAAAAAGTATCTTTTTAAATTGTTGAAAGACTAAAAATACAGAGTAATAATAGTTTTACTATTAGAAGGGTAAGAACAACACCATATATTTTTTTCATTAAAGTCCTCCTCTACCATGAAGCAGAGTGCTTTACGGTAGCTCTCTCACTTTTGATAGCTATCAGAAGTGAGCAGCACTCGATGACGAACACTTTTGAGTATTATCAACTTAGGACAAAACTAGTAAATATTAGAAATCTACCTATAGCCTTCTTTACACTCAGAAAATAGTCTTCTTTCATTTCATCAGTCAGTGAACGAATGCTTTCATCAAATGATTTCAGATGCTGTGGAATTAAAACTAAAACGTGATCTAACCAGGCTTCATCCAGTGGGGCTACATTTGCTGTATCAATTCCATGGCGAATGTAATAGTAGTATTTCTGCAGGATAGAAGAATGCATTGGTTAAGTTCAGTACTAGATAGCAATTACTAGTGCAGGTTTCAGTAAAACATGGGCTGATTTAGTAAAAATAAATGTAATTAGCGTCAAGTGCTTTTTTGTTTCCATAATTCTATCATTATATCAATCATCTTGTCTATATTTACAATAAATAACTGGCAATACTTCAAATTTAATGGTCTTGAAAATAGCCTTTACCTACCACAATATCCTTCTCTATTGCTGTAGAGGAATCTGCTCTTGGAGACTGGGATTCATTAAGGGGTTCTTCAGTAATGTCTTCCTGCCTGACATAAAAACAAAACAAACAAGTGTGCATCACATTCTTCAGATACATTTCAGTGTCATAAGCAGTATATAGCCATCAACCACGCGAGCTATGAATAAGCAGCACAAAACAAATGTGACTGGCAAAACTTTACAAAAAATGCAAAACATTATGATTCAAAAAGAACACTGAAGCACACAACCAAGTTTGTAAACAACCTGCTAAGGTTCAGATTTTAAAGTCAGCAATACAGTTCATTGTCATATACATATTTCCTTTTGATTTGTAATCTTCAAATTTTTGAAATGACTTAAAAAAAAAATTGGTCCATCTATCAACAGGAGAAAGTACATTTTTCAAACATCATTAAACTCACAATATAATGTTAACCAGAGCACTTCTGAAACGTTCCTGGCTTTTTTTCACATGACTGCAGCTTTGCAGTTTAGAAGTTGATGGCTCAGCTTCTTTATCTCTAGAATCTTGTATCTTGAGTCTCTTGCATCTTGCCTTCAAATACTCTCCTTGCAGAAAAGCACATTTTGAAATTAAGTTTTAAAACAGTTCGAAATCATGACGCATTTCCTTATGTTTCTGAAAGATTTTCTTCAGTAGCACCAGCTACTGTTAGCCTTACCAGATGGGTACTCATTTTTTACAGAAAACTCATCTGGCTCATCATCTTCCCACTCTTTTCTCAGGCAGAATGAAGGACAAGTCTGCTGCCATGGTTGATGAGAGCTTGCCTGGAAGAAATATTTTGTGTTTTAGTTTTACACTAGTTGTAGGTGCTAGTAGCACTTCAAGATATTTTAAATACAAATAAATAAATACATACATAACCTAGTATATAGTAGGAACAAGGCAGCATAAAAATGATACAGTAAACTATTACCTACATGTTGCCCTCAACTTTAAAATATCCAGCCCAGCAGAGATAAGCACACTAAACTTACACGCAAATATTTGCATACCCTCTAGCTTTATACTTTAAACATCTACAGATTTGTTCAAATATTCTACTTTCAATGTTTTGAAAATATTGAAACATATTTCCACATACTTAGATGTGAATAATACAAGTACATAATGCAGACAACATGCACATATTACACTTCAATACGATCTGAAATCTTTATGCAACTCTGCCATGTACACACTTGAAAACTAAAACTTACAAAAAATCTACCTGAGGTAGCTGTGGTATTAAGCTCGCTGCTCCTTTTGCAAACTTCCCTTTGACACTTGGAGCGGCCTTGGGAAAAAATCACAAACATCTTACTTACTACTAATATTAGACTTCCAGCCATACTTAAAGATCTTAAAAGAAGCTATAAATCCCTTTTCATCTCTGATCCATAGTTGCTCTGGAAGTTATGCCTCCCACTTATTTCAACGTAAACTAAACCAGACACAAAGAATATGGTAACACTACTTGATAGAACCAATTCTCAGCTACAGAACAATATTTTCCAGAGTCACCACCATTAGCTCTGCATTTTCACCCGCAATGAACAAGAGCCTGCATGCTGTGTTATAAAAACCTGTACTCGTGGAGGTGACCCACTGTCACCACTGCTGAAACACATCATCCAACACTGTTTGATCTCCATAAATGTTCAGCAAGCATTAATGAATGCCAATGGGTGCCACTTCTTCTACATGGAAGAATTTACTTCCACCTTTGCTTCATATGCACTTCCATGTCAGATGCCATTTTGTCAGACTGTCCCTCTGCTGTTCAGCAACAACATGTTACAGGATACTGGTGGGAAGGTTCAACCTCTGCAGCCATACCACCAAGATTCACTTCTGACATCGTGGACCAACATAATAAAATAAGAGGCATCACTCTCAGAGCAGCACTCATACAATATTTTTTGTAAGCACAACCATGTCACTTCTCCGACAATTTCTAGTGTGCTTCCATGTAAAATTTAACTTTCCCAAATACCTTTTACAAATCACAGCCTGGAGAAATCTATTTTATGCTGGGAAGCATTTGAAGTATATTTTTGCCAACACAAACATTAAAGAATTAAAAGATACCAAGACATAATGTAAACATACAGTTAAGTTTTTCATTTAGGTTCATCAGTTAGCACATATTGGTCCTTTATCCTAACCCATAATCTTCCAATTAAAGACTGCCCAGCACTCTCTGCTCTTCCATAAGGCTGACCCCTCAGCATGAGACAGAAATGCTGGCCTCTGACCGTGCCCAGGATCCCAACTAATGTGTTTTTAGCATAGCACCTCACTGTGAGCAAACAAGACAGGCTAGCTGTACAATTATTTGAAACTGGCAAACATAAGCACCTTTGGCTGCTTCTCCATTTGTCCTCTGCTTCAGCCTGGCACCAGTGCCCAGCATCACACACACCACTTCTCTTCATGCAGCTGCACTTGCAGTAAAGTAACGCTACATCTATGCCACAGCTGTCCTTGTTGTGCTTGATTTCTTACGCAAGGATTGTACAGTGGAGAAAAGCTGCAGAAGTTTGTATGAGCACACCTGAGCCACTCTTCCACAAGTCACATTGCAGTGCAGCTGCTGTGCTACAGGACACTCAAATTTTAGACACACAATTACAAGAACTGTAGTGATTCACATGCAAGTCAGAAAGTCCAAAGTCAACCTCCATCAAAATTCAGGAATTTGAGTGATGAAGATGCGGCACTGAGGAACATGGTCAGTGGGCATGGTGGAGATGGGTGGATGATTGGACTGGATGATTTTAGATATCTTCTCCATCCAACCTTAATGATTCTAGAACTCTGTTCTCCATGGAACAGTTTCCTGTCTACATTCCGTGCTCCAGCCTCCTAACTATCCCACTGGATCCTGGTTTGTCAGCAGCTTTACTGCTGGATCTGAGCCAGAGTCACTTCAGTTGGTTCTGAATCTTGAGTATAGGCGTGCTCTTTATTCTTCACATAGTAAGACTGATATTTAGAACTACACTAGCACTGATGCTCTTTAATATTCTCATCAAACACACTGGCAGTGGGATAGGGAGCACCCTCAGCATTTTTAATTACACCAAACTATGTGGTCAACACACCTGAGAGACACAGTAATATCCAGAGAGACCTAAATAGGCTTCAGCAGCAGGGCCAGGTGAACCTCATCAGGTTCAACACTGTTGCCCTGCATCATGGCAACCCCTACCATCATTGCAAGCTGGGAGAACAAAGGACTGAGCACAGCCCTTCTAAAAAGGAATTGGTAGTAATGGCGGACAGAAAGCTGAACATGAGCCACCAATGTTTGCAGCCCAGAAAGCAAACTGTATCCTGGGCTGCATCAAAAGCAGCATGATCAGCAGGTCAAGGGAGGCGATCCTGTCCCTCTACTCTACTCTGCACTAGCGAGACCTTACCTAGAGTGGTATGTCCAGATGTGGAGTCCTCAGTACAGCAGAGACATGGACATGTTAGAGTGTGACCAGAGAAGGGCTACAAAAATGGAACACCTTTCCTACCAAAGCAGACTGAGAGAGCAGGGGCTGTTCAGCCCAGAAAAGAGAAGGCTCCAGAAACACCTGATGGCAGCCTTTCATTATCTAAAGGGAGGGGCTTTAGGAAGGAAGGGGCAGACTCTTTAGCAAGATCTGTTGTGACAGGACAGGGAAGATTTACAGTAAGAGTGGTGGGGCACTAGAATAATATATATATTTTTTCAATCTTGAAACCTGTTTTCAAACTGTATAATCAGAACGAAAAGCAGGGCTGCACGCTTTCTGCCGCTCACACGGCTGTGTTCAGGCCACAAATCTAAACGCGTGCAACTCCTCGCTGTAAGCGAAGCCGGCACCGCGCGCCGGCACCGCGCGCCCCCCCCCCCCGCGCACCGCCGTTGCTGAGCGCTGGGCGCGCATCAGGGGCCGGGCAGGGCAGCGCCTGCCAGGCAGCGTCGGACACGGCTGGCACAATCCAACCCCCTGCTAATGCAGGTGCCTACAGCTGGTCGAACTCCTGGTTAGGAGTAACAGAAACCTGAGCGGTTTTTTTTCTTTTTCTTTTTTTTTTTTTTTTTCTCTCCCTACAAATAACAGGAGTAGAAAAGTTTTCACCGCGTGCAACATTACGCAGATTTGTTGTTCTTTTTTTGTTTTTGTTTTTATTAAAACACCAAAACGCTCTACACAGCCATCTGTAACCCTAAGATTCCGGCATCCTTAACGCCTCGCAGCACAGCCGCTGCCGGCACCAACAGCCACACAGAGAGCCCCGCGGTCCGGACGGCGCCGATGCGCACCCTCCGATACGCACCCAACGTAACACAAACTGCAGAACTTCGAATCCACCAAAGGAATGAACCGAAGGAAAGCGGCGCAGTTCTAAGGATTTACGTTACTTCGAACAAACACCACCTGAAAAGCTCTCAGCTGCAGCCCTCTTTCCCCGCACCAGCACCCCCTCAGCAGCTCGCTGCACCGCAGCTCCGCTCCACCCCCCCACCAGCCCCCGGCGGCAAACGGGCGCCGCAGCGGCTCAGCGCCGTACCTGCTCGGTGCCCATGTCCGCTCGGACGGGACGCGGCCGCACTGAGGAGCCGCCGTTGCCCCGCAGCACCGCGAGCCAGTGCGACGGTTGCGCTGTAAACCGCGACGGCCGCGCGGGAGCAGCCCCGCCCCGTGCCCTGCGCTCAGAGCGACTCGCCTGTATTGAAGACCGCGTTTTACCTGCAGTTGGTTGTTTACGTTTGCTAGGTAACACAGAAAACAGCGTGAAGATGCAGCCACAGCCCGCTCCGAGGGCAGCGCGGTGACGCCGAGCGCTCCGAGCATGGCACGCAGGCTCTGCGAACCAGCTGGAAGTGCAATTTATCGCCTGAGCATCGGGGGGTGGGGGCACAGCTGTGGCGGGTGAAGCTGTTGCAGCGTATCCTCAGGTACAGAAAGCTGAATTTAAACTTCGTTCAGTGAGATTTCAGCTTTATGCAGCAAGGTTTTCTTCTAGGAGGAAGCGCATGCTGCCAGTTTGTGGCAGCTTCAAGAAAATAAGGGGCTTAAATAGCTCCGAAATGGACTATTCCATTCGGTTCAAACAGGCATTCCTCCCTCGCTTTGAAATTAGCAGGTGGGTGAACACAGCTGCTGTTTGCAGGCAGAGCTTTGCTACCTCTGTGTTCCAACTACACCTAATAGAGAACAGCTGTGCTCGTGAAAGCGTTCCTAATAAACCAATGTCTGAACTCTTACCTGGGTTGGTAATGTGTGCGATTTATTATTCGTGTTATATTTATTACATTGTGATTTTGTTATTTAAGGTGTTTTTTCAACCCTTATCTTCCCGTGGTGATAACAACAAAAGCACTGTCCTAGCAAAAGGTTGATTCATGGAACACCTTTTATGTGTTAGCCCAACCAGCCAAAAATTTTCATGCCATAACCTATGTACCTGCAAGGAGTTCCATTATCTCTCGTCACTGGAAGATGGCCTGACAGTTCAGCTTTATAACTTACCATTAATTTACCATTAATGAGGTAAGCTTTCAATACACTGATCTATCTTGTATTTTTTCACTATCAGTATTTTTCAAATCAGCCATCTGCCAGGTTCTTAAGGCATGGGATGATTCCAGTTCCTTACAAAAAAATAATACAACTTCATGTTTTTATCTTGCCCTGACTTTACAAGATGTTCTTCCAAATGCAACTTAACTTATTTAGCAGCAGTACAGTCACAGCTGTCTTGTTAGAAAGATGGGCAGCTATCATATGGTAGGAGGAGGGGAAAGGTCTGAGACGGGAGGTTTAGCTTAGATACTAGGAAGTTTTTCACTCACAGGGTGGTGACACAGTGAAACAGGTTGCCCAAGGAGGTTGTGGATGCCCCATCCCATGACAGACAACTCCACCTGCTTGCACTAGTCTCCTATTTCTCAAGTCAACAGAAAGACTTCATAGGCAGCGTACTTAAGTCCCAGAGACTACACACTTCCTTCTCCATCTTTGCAACCTTAGTAGATTTTAGACATCAAAGTTTCCCAGAGGGAATTCTGCCCTGCCATTCATAACGAAAATTGTGACAACCTGGCTCTAGCACTGGAGGGAAATAGGAAAGATGAAAACACAAAAGTGTGCAGCCTTACAACTGTTTATGAGGTGCACAGTGATAGAACAAGGGGGAACAGTTTTAAACTAAGACTGGGGAGGTTTAGGTTAGACATTAGGAGGCAGTTTTTCCACACAGAGGGTGGTGATGCACTGAAACAGGTTGCCCAAGGAGGTTGTGGATCCCCATCCCTGGAGGCATTCAAGGCCAGGCTGGATGTGGCTCTGGGCAGCCTGGTCTGCTGGTTGGCGACCCTGCACATAGCAGGGGGATCAAAACTAGATGGTCATTGTGGTCCTTTGCAACCCAGCATTTTATGATCATCTGGACTGTACATTTTTCTAACACCTCCTTTCTTAGATTAGAAAACTTTTTGAGAAGTCAGAAATCAAGCTGTCCCAAGTCACTAGCAGTATTAAACTGGAGCATTTTACTGATGCCTTAAAAATAAATAAATAGAGCAGCATTCTTTAGAAGAACCTTCAGTGCAGAAAAAATTCAAATTATTTCTAATCTTACTGCTGTAAGCAACACTGAACTAATGAATACACTAATGAATTTCCTTCACTAAAAAGGGAGCTCATTTGTGCTTTTCTAACAATGCGAGAGCTTTCTTTTCAATGAAACGTGCCTTTGTAGAAAATATAGTATCCATATCACAAGACATTACCACCTCTTTTGAATTTAACTGGTTTCCTAAAGGCTTGTATTTCCAGTTTAGCCTTCTACTTGAAGATTTAACGGATGTACAGTTAGTGCCCTAGGAGGCTGATATTCGTGTAATAAACATTCTATTTAAATTTACATGGTCATTCTGCCAAAGCCATTAGAATACATCATCTAACATCTTCATTAATTACCTGTGATGGGGCAGAATGCACCCTCAGCAAGTTTGCAGATGACACAGCACTGTGAGGAATGACAGATAGGCTTGCACTGCTATCCGGGGGGGACCTCAAAAGCCTGGAGAAATAGGCTGATAGAAACCTCATGAAATTTAACAAGTAGTGCAAAGCCCTGCGTCCAGGGACAGACAGCCCAAGGCACCAACATCGGGGGCCACCCAGCTGGAAAACACCCTTGCATGAAAGGTGGTGAGGTTCCCTTGCCACAAAGAAGGTAATGGTATCGCAGGCTGCATTAGCTAAAGTCTTGCCAGCAGGTCAAGAGAGATGATCCCTTTCTGGAGATAGAAAAGCAAGCAGACGTGGTCAGGGAAACCAGCTCTAGGTGGCCCTGCTTGAGCAGGGAGGCTGGATCAGATGACCTCCTCATGTCCCTTCCAAACACAGTTTTGCAAGGCTGTGAAAAAATGAAAACACAGTTTTGAAAAAAGGAAAAGTTTATTTATTTAAATATAAAATGGTTGTGAACTGCATAGAAATACGTCTTAAATCACCTTAAAATGTTCCTCATCACTCACCAGATTACCTCTCCAGTAATATGGCAGGAAGCAAGATGGGCTAAAAATTGTCTTCTTCAATGTACGTATTTACCTTCAAGCAAAGCAATGGTGCACAGTAATATTTTTAAAATAAACTCAATGCAACTCAGTATCAACTCAATAAACTGATCCAAACAAAATTTGGCTCAACATATGCTTCGAATTTACATGAAGTACAAACTTCAGAATTTAAGTTCCTCGGAGAAGACAAATCTTCATTAATTTAAATATAAGTTAACTCCAAAAGTAGTAAGAAATGTAAACATTAGATAACTTGATTAAAAAACTTAAGGAACAATAACTTCTTCATAAAGTGCTGGCACATAACTTCAGCTTTATTTTTCAAACACTAAAAAAGAAAACTATTGGAAAGACTTCCCCAAGCTTCCAGTTACAATTTAGGTCAGTGATAATTTTGGAAAATTTGAAAATGAAACTGTTTTAGAAACCATCTTTTCTACCTTTGTCCATTACAGCTTTTTGATGTTCTCATCTTTAACTTGAGTGAATGTTAATTGCATAGTAAAATAGTTTGCATTTTTAATTTGCCCAGTTCAAATTCAGACTCCACACTAGTGAAGAAAGAGAGAAATAATAGTCCACGTGGAAAAGGCCAAGGACTTGGAAAAGTAAAGGTATAGAGTACCTGGACACAATCCAACAACTAACCCCAGCAAAGGCATTTAATAACTCTATATGTATATATATTATCATTACCACTGTAAAAACTGCATAGGAATACGCAGAGGGAAATCAGTGCACTTTGTTTATACTGAGGCATCTGAGCTTCCTTCATGCTATTATTTCATTGCATTGGAGATCAAGTCTTGGGAATTTTTTTTACTTCTGTCAAACAAGCTAAGGACACCACAGCTGACTTTCCAAAAACATCACCCAAAATAAAAGACAGAAGTCCTCTACCTCCCCCCCATGCTTCATAGTGAAAACCTGCATTTAAATCTAAAATAATAAAATTGTTCCTTCCTTTTGTGAAGAAAGCTGAAGTACAAACTTATACCAATTATTACCATACAATCTCAATCATACGACGTTTCAAAGCCTCCATCTGCCTAACTATCGTTGGATCAACAGCCACAGTTGGAAAAGTATTAGATTGTGATATTTTATTAAATAAAAGAAACCAAATTAAGGAGACTAAGTCTGGAATTTTCTAATCCTCGGGGCTTAGAACTACTTTGAAGTACCATTTACTTTCAGAATACTTACAGAAGTTTTAATATACTTTCTACACAGTTTTAGCTTCAGTGTTATGATTAGGATCTTGTCAGTTTTTCTGTGTTAAACTGTTAGTTTCAGGCTGTTGAGACATGACTGGTGTTTGCTCTAAGCTGAAGTTTGACTTATGCGTTACTTCTCTGAGCCTAGAAACAGGAATTGAAAGGGATATAACTTGAACACACCACAAACACATTAAACAAAGCAAATGAAAAGACTTAAAATAATTACTGGGTCGTTTGCCTTTAAATATTAACACACTGCAGTCCATTTCTCAAGGCAGGCATAAAGCTATGTTGTGTGAATAACAGTAATTGACAGAAAAACCCACTGTACATCTACATTAAAAAGGCATAATGAAAAGCTTTTAATTGCAACTCTACTGGCAAAAAAAAAGTCATTTTCAGTTTATTCAGTTATTAATTTGAACTTAAGGCATTTCATGGCTTTGTGTTCATTTTTTGGTTTTAAGATAAGGAATAGGTCAATAATTCTAGACAATATACTTCAGATATTTTATGAAAGACAACTAACGTATATCAAATAATCACAACAGAATGGAAAACTTGTCCTCTTCAAATCTAACTCACTGGTAAGAAGCAATGTATCACTAACACAAGGACTGACCATCTACCCGTTTTCTTTTCAAGCATTACATGCATCCACAGGAAACAATGGAAAAACACCTCGCTCAATATACATTTCAATCTCTAGGCGGACCAGAAAAACATTTCCTTAACTACTAACGACACCAGAGAAAAAGCAGTTTTCCAGATGGCCC